CCCGCGTCCCCTGCATCGGCAGGTAGACTCTCAACCACTGCGCCACCAGGGAAGCCCCACCACCACCACCTTTGACAAAGTGATGGAGACCCCTTGTCTAACCCTTTTTCGACCAGTGGTTGGCTCGTTATTTGAAAAAGTCATTTAATGTAAAGAATCATAATCAACTCTATCCACACCTTTAACATTGTATTATAAGTTAAATCAGTGTCCACCATTACAGTCTTTCAATGCATGGGGTTCAGCTCTTCTCTTCCTGGATATCATCTGTCATGGTCCAAGAACTGACACAGGCAAAGGAATCTGAGTGCAGCAGAATCAGCCTATATTTTCATGATTTTCCCCCCAGTCTTTTACAATTGTCTCTTCCTAAATCTAATTTGGCAACAGTTTTTTGTTGGTTGGTTGGTTTAGCACCTTTACGAAGACTTTCCAAGGTGTTCAACTTAGTTGTCATAGAAACAGCAGTCCATTTCCCACTCCCATTTCATTAGTGTAGAGATGAGTTTGGGGATAAAGCCAGCTGACTGTTTTGTTTTTTTTTTTTTGGCTGCATTGGGTCTTTGTTGCTGCGCACGGGCTTTCTCTAGTTGCGACAAGCGGGGGCTACTCTTCGTTGCGGTGCGCGGGCTTCTCATTGCAGTGGCTTCTCTTGTTGCGGACCACGGGCTCTAGGCCCGCGGGCTTCAGTAGTTGCAGCGCATGGGCTTCAGTAGTTGGAGCACACGGGCTTCAGTAGTTGTGGTGCATGGGCTCAGTAGTTGTGGTGCATGGGCTTAGTTGCTCCGCAGCATGTGGGATCTTCCCGGAGTAGGGATTGAACCTGTGTCCCCTGCATTGGCAGGTGGATTCTTGACCACTGTACCACCAGGTAAGTCCCTCCAGCTGACTCTTGTTAAGCACAGCTTGATGAGTGGGGGCCCCAGAGCACGGGCACACTGGCCAGTGGCCTCCTGCTGGGAGCCTGGGCATCAACCACCTGTTTTAGAGAGGGCATGGGGAGGTGCCCAGTGGAGGGGGCTTAGAGCTGCACCTTCTATTGAAACCAGGGGCATTTCCACAGGGCATGCTTTGAGCGCTCCTGCTCTGGGGACTGGGGCCAAGGCTGCTGTGGATCTCTGCCAGGCCACTTGCTGGGGGCATCACGCTTGGGGCCAGGGAAGGGGCAGAGTTCCTGGAAGCAGCCTGCAGAGAAGCAGGGATGCCAAGTTGCCTAGCCACTCACCACAGAGTCAGTGCTTCAGAGACCACGCCACGTTCAAAGGTCTCTGCCTAACACAGACCCCTCAAGGAGACTGGGCGAGCTGGCGGCTAGGGCCTGGATGCCCTTTGCCTTCTGGTGGTGCTGTGTGGTCGAGGAGGTTTGGGGGTTGGGAGTAGGTCTGGGCGGAGAAGGGGGAGATCCGTGCCTCGCTCTCCATCTCCTCTCATCCTCTCTCAGGAGAGAGGAGGATATACCTCCTCTCCCTTAGCATGGGGAGCAGTCAGAAGAGAGGTGAAGGCTCCCCAAACCTCACCTGCCTCAATCCTGTCCCACCTGTGCCCTTTCTTAGTGGCTGTGCAGTCACCCAGGCCTGGAGCCTGGAAGTCATTCCTGAGAGCCCCTCAGGCCCATCACCCCCCAGAGCTCAGCAGATGCCACTGCTCTGCTGCGTCCCCACCGCATGGCCCTGGTTCAGACCTCTCTTCTCCCCTGTTAGAGTAGCTCTGACTTTCAGGCTTCCATCCACCCACATCCTCCCAACCCCACAGAGAGCTCTGCAATGCCTGTCTCGTGATGTCCGTCCCCGTCTTCCCCTTAAAACTTCAGGGGCTTCACAAGCCCCACAGGGTAAGACCCCGGCAGCCTAGAGACACGCAGGCCTCCATTTCCTCGCCCTGCCATCTCCAGCCTCCTGTGCCGCATGCCTGCCTTCAGCTCCCCCCGGGCCTCCCGCATTGCTGCACCAGCCTCCAGCACGTTCGCCACCTCTCTCTGTTCTTCGTTCTCTCAGATTTCCTCTGCCTGCCACACCGTCTCCTCCTCGTCATGTGGCCACTTCTTCTAAAAAGTCCAGGCATGCTCTCCCGCCAGAGCTTCTCCTGACCCACTTTCCCCTGCCCTCCAAAGCCGCCTTTTTTCCCCACAACACACTGGGTACACTTCACTTAGAGCCTTTGTGACATTTCAGCAAAATGACTCTGTCTGTCCCCCTCACCAGCCTGTAAGCACCTGCAGGCAGGGCAGTGTCGGCACCTAGCGCAGCGTCCAGCATGGAACCTCCTCGCCCAGAGTTAGGCGGCAGTAGATACGGTGGAATGAACTGAACCCCTGAACCTGTCCCTCCTCTCCCCATGTGCTCACACTTCCTTCTCCCCGCCCCCACTCGCTCAGGTGTGCTGTTTGCCCAGAAACCTGTGGTCCACCTCATCGCAGGATCTGCTCCCCAGAGCATCGGCAGCAGCGCCAGCAGCAGCAGCAGTTCTCACTGCTCGCCAAGTCCTACCTCGTCCCGGGGCACCCCCAGTGCAGAGCCCTCCACCAGCTGGTCCCTCTGAGGGGCAGGACCCAGCTCCCAACTCCCTCCACCCTCCCATCGAGAGTGGAGGAAGCTGATGCACAGAATTTACCTCATCTCATGGAGCCCACATCAAGCACCATTTGGCCAGATGTTGAGAGTTTGGACCTGTCCGTCTGTCCAGGCTCCATCAGGTCCTGCTGTACTCTAGAGGCAAGGAGAGGCTGGAGGGGCCTGACAGGGCAACGTTGTCCAATCAGGGATTGTCCTGGAGAACTGGGCGGGGTCTGTGGGCGTCCAGCTTCCTCCAGGGCTCCCAGGCCACCTCCCATCCCGGGCACAGTGTATTGACAATCTCTAAGCTGACACAGGGCTGGAGGCCCTCCACATCCCTTCCCCTTTAATTTATTTCCCTTCCCCTGCCTTCTGCCATGACCCCAGGGTCACTGGTCTCTTCCCCTGCTCAGTCCCCCAATCTTTGACTCCAGTGTGGGGCTGCTAGGAGCCAAGAGCATGTCTTTGTGGCCCTTCTCTGCTGAGCATGGCATGGGGACCTCCCAACCCACCTTGCCTCCCATGTTTGGTTCTTGGGGTGTGGGTCTCTCAAATTCAAGTCTTGAAGCAGTCCTCAGGGCCCCATATCCCCCTTTTAATGGTCCCAAGACAGGGATCATGAGGGCAGTCCTCAGGACCCAGGGCCTGCTGGGCATCTGCTGAGGGAGAGGCAGAGCCTCAGGGGCTGCCCAGGCAGGCTCTGGCACCCACTCCACTGACCCTTTTCTGACCCTGCCAGACCTCACGTCCCCACTCATCCCTGTTGGCCAGCTCTCCCAGGAAACAGCCCACTTGTCCCTTGGGCCCCTCTTCTTCTCGTGGGGCCCAAACCTGCCAATGTCAGGTTCATTGAAATACCTCAGATTTGTAACTGTTGATGTTTGATTCTTCAGGAAGTATTTGCATCTCTGAAATCTTTTTTATATGTGTTTGCTGACTTTTGTGTTTTTTTTTACTTTAGAATTTTTATTGTTGTTATTGTAGCACCAAAGAAATGAAAGCAGATCACCCCAAAAGCCGAGCAAATTATTTGGTACCCCAGCCCCTCGAGCCCTTCCCTAAGACCCCAGTGAGGGTGCAAGCGAGGCAGCAGGAGAGATGACTCAGGGATCACAGTGGCAGGAGGAGGTGGAACGGAGAGGCCCGCTCTCAACGCAGGTTGGATCGTGAAACCACACCGGTTCTCAAGATGGCCCTTGACCCATTTCTCACCAGAGCAGGGCAGTCCCAAACCCCAGCGCCCAGTTCACCCGGGTGGGGGCAGGGCATCTTCCCTTCACTCAACATTCCCACCTCAGGGCAGGAGTGGGCTGTGGAGGCCATGGACCTTGGAGAAGTTGAGCTGCCTCAGAGGGTGAGGAGATGCTGAAAGAGCTCTGTCTCTCCTCTTGGACCCTGGGGTGGAGTGGGCTGTTCCTGTGTCATAAAGAAGAGGTGATTCTCACACAAGGCTTGCCTCTCAATCGAGTATGCCCTGCAGTGTTCAGTGGAACCCCACCTGCTGTGACATCATCGCGCTGTGGCGGTGGGAGACCATGGTGGCACAAGCCCACGCACGACTAATGCTCAGTCCATCTAGGAAAGGAAAGGGAAATCATATGCTTGAGCACAAAACACATACCTCAGCCCAGTGAGCTGCAGCTGCACTGACTGCATCTTCTCTCCCTTCCCTAGCCCTTCACACTGTTTCACACTCACACATACTCACACACACAGCCCCATCCATTGGGGGCTGACCCTCTCCTGGCCTCACCAGGCTGGCGCAGGGCCTGGCAGAGAAGGGCATCTGAGGTCCGTGTCAGGGAGGAGCCTGGTTGGCTGGCGCTGGGCCCCCTTGAAGGCGTCGCAGACATTTGGCCAGTGTGTCTTTCTCAGGGCTTTGGTCACAAAGGTTGGACTCTTCCCACCTGGAGGACACAGGGGTGGTGCACTGTGTCTTCCTGGTTGTTGGATCCTCTCCCTTTCCTCAGGCAGCTTGCCCTCTCAGCAAGCCCTCGCTGCCCTCAAGGGCAACAGCAGGGTCTCAGCCTGAAAGCCCGAGGGTGGGAGCGCCGGCAGGTGCCCCCAGAATGGGGCCCTGGGCCAAGAGGAGCTCTCCTGACGGTGCAGCCCTGAGGTCACATGGCAGCCATTGGCCAGGGCCGCTCCGTCCCCTCCCCCTCCCCATCTTACTTGTATTTAACCAGGAAAAAATATGATAGCACATGGGTAGCCTAGGCAGTGGATAAATACCTCAGAAGTCCTCTTGCAGCAAGTGTCTGTATATGTTGTGGTCATTTTCTATCTTACATGTTCTCGAATGTTTATATTTCAATAAACCTCTACCTCTTCACACAAGCAGGTCTTGCGGGCGCTTTCAGTGACTCTTTCATTTGACAGTACTAGGGAAGAGGCGAGGACCTTCAGAATGAAAGGGGCTAAGTGAACTACTCCTCTGATCCCTTGGTTTTTCCTAACCCTTCTCTTCTCCGCTGCTCACCCATCGTTTTCCCAAAGCGCTTACTCTCAGCCTGTCTTCTGTATTAGCTGGGCACCGCTGATACTGCATGGTCACCAAAACTGACTCCCCTGGTGTCACGTCAGGGTCCCAGCAGGCACAGGGCCAGGGGTCTCCTCCATGAGCAAGCCCTCTTTGAGCTCCTGCTGAATAAGTACAGTCCCCACGCTCACAGAGCTCACACTCCTGGCTGGGAGGCACACACGACTCTAGACAAAAACCGAGTCTTTAGAATACAGCATGACTGGGACCAGTGGGGTAGATAAATGCTGGAGCAGCTCACTAGGGAATCTCTGGAAGGCTTCCCAGCAGCAGACATTTCAGCTAGAAGAATGACGTGGCCAACTGGAGACGTGAGGAAGAGCAGAGGAAGTGATATATGTGGAAGCTCGGTGGCATCAAAGGACCTGCGGAACTGTGGGCAGTGCCTAGGGTTGGGGGGTGCTGGAAAAAAGTGTGGCTGGGGCCAGGATGGAGCCCAGGCTAAGGAATTTGGGCACCATCCTCTGAGCATCGGGACCCTGCTGACATAGGCTTAGAAAGAGGCTTTTCTAGAAAGGTGATCTGGAGCTGGGAGACATTCTAGGCATGGACACCCTGGGACACTGCCACTGAAACAGGCCTATACCCAGACTGCTCAGCCTTTTTCTCTGCCACGATACGCATCGTATGGGCACAACCTGGTTTTGGCAAAACCAAAAGAAATGGGCAGAGAGGTAAAGCACTGGGTGGGTTTGTGATTGCCCTCCTCCATCCATAACAACATACACCTCGCCTGTCTGCAACCTCTGAGGCGCAGGGGGGGTTCTCTCTGCCATTTTGAAGTGCTAGAAAGTGAGGGTGACACTGGAACAGTCTTGAACCTCTCACTGACTTTTTAAAATCTTTTGAAAGAAATAACCAACCCTTTAGTACTTTAAATACTAACCAATAGTTGGGATCACACGTCACAACCTCCTGTGACACACCAGGGGGCTGTCACATGGAGGAGGCCCAGAGATGAGGAGAAGCAGGATCCAGAGGCATTTGAGTTAGAAGTATAGAAGTATGGAGTGGATGTGAGGGGACGCTGAGGGAGAAGTGGCAGCTGAATAAGCCTCCTGATAGAGATGGAGAATCTGAGAAGACCAAGGCACTGAGCCACTGCAATTCCATTCGACTTTAAATTAACAGAAAAAAATATAGGAGAATATCTAAGACCTCGAGAAAAGGAAGAATTCCTCAAACCAGACCCTCCGAAAAAAGTTCATCAAAAGATCCCATAAGATAAAAAGACAAACTGGGAGGAGATGCTTATAACACACAACTAGTCAGAATTTCTTTTTTTTTTTAAATGCTTATTGTTAAGACAAAAGCGAAAAGAAGGATTGAGGAGAGGGAGCAAAGTCATGAACAGGTGTTTGGCAGAAGAGGAAATAAAATGGTCCTCATTAGTAATCAGGGAAATGCACAAAAATCCATTCCACACCATCAGATTGGCACAAACTGTAGTCTTAAAATACCAGGCCTTGGTGAGGATGGGGAGCAATGGGAACTCTCACAGATTGCTGGGGCGGGGGGCGGGGGGTGTAAATTAGCCTAACTCTGGAAAACACTTTGGCTGTACCTAGTAAAGTGGAAGGTGCCCATGCCCTGGGGCCCAGCAATTCTGCTCCCAGGTTTGTACCCCAGAGGAACTCTGAACATGTGCCCCAGGACATGGGATGGCACTGATGGTAATAAGGAGACTGTGAAATTACCAATTACTGAACACTGGTGTATGCCAGGTGTGGTTTAAGTTCTTTGCATGGATTAACTCATTTGCTACACATTTATGAGTTTGGAGGCGCAGAGAGGTTGAGTAACTAGCACGAGGTCCCAGAGCTGTGAGAAGAGCAGTCGGTGGCTATGGAGTCCAGAATCTGCCTTAACCACGAGCGAGGCAAAGCACTCAGTGCTCAGTGTCTCATTTAACACTGCACCCATAGGCCTGTGAGGCAGAGACTTCGTTCATTTTACAGATAAAGAAACTGAAGAGCAGAAATGTGCACGAGGTCACGAACGTAGTGAATGGCAGGGCTGGGAACGGACTCTAACGCAGCTGTCCAACTTCTCCCGCAGATGCCTCTTTTCAGTTAGGGCAGGGGTAGCCCAGCGCGGTTACGAGAGGGAAGCAGAGGACGCGGGGAGGGGAGTCTGATTATCCCACGTCTCGGCTCTGGCCCCACCCGACCCCCGCAAGCCTCGCACAGCAGCGGGGTGAGGGGGGGGGCACCTGAGGGACGTGAGCATCTCCGGGACCAGCTTTCCCAGCCACGAGCCGCAGCTTCCCCCACCTCATTGGCCAGGGCTGGGCATGTGCCCTCCGCGCAGCCAATGGGGCGAGCGGGGGGTGGGGGAGCGGCTGGGGAGGGCCTGGGACCGCGCGGCGGTTGGAGGGTCGGTCCGGCCCCAAGGGGGCGAGCGGGGGGTGGGGGAGCGGCTGGGAAGGGCCTGGGACCGCGCGGCGGTTGGAGGGTCGGTCCGGCGCCGGCAGCGTCTCTGCCCGCCTCCCTGTGAAATGAAGTGCCGGTTACTGCCCGGAAAGGAGGGGGAGTTGGTGGCTTGGGACTTACGAAAGAGAAGGTTTGTAATCACCGCCGGAAGGAAAGGGAGAAGGAACCGACCAGACCAACAGGACTGGGAAGAGTGGGAGCCCCCGCTGCGCTTGGAGACAGTGAGTACAAACCCCGTCAGCAGCTGGGACACAGGGACACACAAGAAGGCAAAGTGGTGGTGGGGTGGCCTTCTGTGCCAGGGGAACAAACCGGAGCCGGGTCTGAGATAAGCCGGTGGAGGGCAATGCTCCGCCTACCCGGAGGGCCTTTGGGACAGGGGGGGCAGCCATCTGGTTTGGAGGCATTCCCTTGTAAGGGACCCAAATCGCTCAGGCCTATATGAGCAGACAGGAGGGGTATTTATTCTCCGACACCAGGGTATGTGGAGGAGCCCAAGGGCAGTGGGACCTGGGGCTGGCCTCAGGAAGGGTCTGGAACCCAGAAGCACTGCCCGTGGAAGGTATTCCTCCCCTCCTGAAGACCAGCTCAGCCTGACACCTGAGCTACAGAGCAAGGTGAGATGACCATCCCAAAAGTCAAGTTTATGTCTTCTGCATGCATGAGACCCCCTGGGCTGAACCAAAATCTCTCCATCCCGATTTCAGTTTCTGGGAATCGTCAGCTCCATTTGCTCTTACTGAAATACACCTTTTTCTGCATAGAAAAACGGTGGTTGACAGCTCCCCGGTTTTATGTGTCCAGTTTTCAGGCCTGGAAAGATTACT